TTCATGATCACACTATCTACAGCTAGCTATGGTTATAGAAATTAAGTTAGCTAAAGGAAACAGGGAAACTAAGTGATTAACCGCTCTCAAAGGACAAACAGCTTTCACTGGTGAATAAGAGTCAGGGACAATATTCTTTAGCTAATTTTTCAGTACATATATATTTAAACTCAACAATTCTTACCTCAAAGAACAGGACAGCAACCATGTCATTATAATGAAAAGCTAGCTTGGGCTCTGATACAAGAAAATATGTTGAATAAGTTCAGAGACAGCCACCAACCGCAGAAAAGAATGTGTTATGGAAATACTGCCAACCACTATGTTATAAATTATTTAATTGATATTGTCTAAAATAGTCTAATAGAAATGTGAGAAGAAAATAGGGTTCCTTTTATTATTTCTCACTGGTTGGCTAAGTGTGATTTCCCTACCTCTTTCCTTTTCCCAACCCCAACAGTGCTACACAACTTACAGGTATCAGGACTACGCACAGTCTCATGAACAATGTTCTTAGCTAATTGACACATGATGATCTGCAAAAGTTCATTGTATAGTTTCAAAATACTTTGAGATTTACTGATGGCCACCAAAAGATTAAAAAAAAAAAAAATCAGGCAAAGCGATGACTACATTAATTTAAAATGGTTGTAGAGTGCTTAAGATCATTAAAAAAATAAAAATCTGTTTGCAAAATGTTGTTTATATCATCTAGAATGCATTAACTTGGTGATCCCACTAGGTGACTCACCTCGCTCCAACTGGTTGCTTCACATAAAATTAGTCCTAAGAGTGAAGGGATAATTGTTTTTTTGAGGTTTGTTTAAAGAGGTTTGGTTTGGTTTGTTGTGTTTAAAGACTGAGGTCCTCAGTCTTTAAATACAAGAAAGCATCAGATCAAGACAATCTTTGATGTTACATCCCATAACAACCAAATCATTCAGATTAATCCTCCACTGGCTATCTGTTCTTTTTCACCGTAGAGTACCACTAACTTTTTTCAAAAAATCACAAGACCAATATCAGAGGTGCTCTTCAAGTACAAACATTGACTCCTAAATTCATAAAAATGATAGTACCCACAAACTCAAATACAGCATTTTTGTAGCTACTAGTCTTATAGGAATCTGAGCTCTGGGTTGACTTTCCATGACAAAGTTTCTCTCCAAGTCTTTTTTTCAACCACAGTAATTCAAAACGTTCGCCTTTCTCTTTTTTTACTGTTAAGTAAAACCCTTGTACACCATACATACTGTTTTGATTTGAGTCACCTCAATACACCAAATATTCCCAACTAGTTAATCAGAAATGGAATAAGATTTTCCTCAGTTGCTGAACCAGAAATATTACCTCCTACTTGAACAACTCTGTGAATCTGTTGCTGACAATGTAAGAATTAGCCTTCTAATTCTCATTTTTGATTTCTGACAGAGAACTTCTTACAATCTCAAATATCTGGCCATGTATACGTTCTCCTACCTCACTATCTCCATCAAAAAAATGACACTTGTCTGAGTATGCTTTTCTATCTGTGCGCTTATATATCCCTTGTGTTGGCTCTTTCTTCTTGACTATCTTCCTACCTGAGCCACAGACAGAACTGTGGCTCTCACCTTGAGCTGAGAGCATTTTGCAAAGGGGTAGGATATGATCCCGAACTTGGGCTCATATTACCAAAATAATCTTGGTAACATATGGATTAAAACAACTACTAAATAAGTTTCAAATAATACTCCAAGTACAGCATGTACAGTACTCCAAATACTTCTGTTGATATAGATGGTCAAAACCAAATCATTATTTATAAAGCTGGTGGTTTCCAATTTTAATGAGAAAGGGATTTGATGAGAGTAGGTAAAAAAAGTACTATTTTTGTGACCATATTGTTTTCTTACCTTCAATTCTGTATCCATGGCAAAATTTTTCACAATTGAGATTGCACACACATATAGAAATACACCAAAACCAGGGCTATTCCAATAATCCATTTTAGTGGAACAACTTAAGAACTGAAACTCTAGCTCAAACATCTTTTCATGACAGTCACCTCTGCATGTGCATGTGTGTTATGCATATAAAAAGTAAGCACTAGCAACCACCATTTCATTTTCTCCAAATCCAGGAGTTAATATAAACCATGCACGGGGTTAATGCCATCCTGGCCAAATGTTGTTGAATATGTAATTGCACTCAGCATTCAAACTGCTGTGTGTTTGTCTGTGTTCCAGAACTGTTCTACAAGAACAGTCTCCCTGAATTCTAATATCTTTATGTTAAGAATGAAGCATTGCATACATATGATATACCATTGGTGTACTTTCAATTCATCTTACACAGATTTGGCTCTCTCCTGGAGCACAAGCAAGGCCAACTCATTATTCTAACTAGTAAGCCTGACAGGGGCACTAAGAAAATCACAAATACCAGGACTACTCAGTTGCACAGCCTTCTGTGACCACCCATGCTACTATATCAGCTACCTGATGACTCATGGATAATGATACTCATGGACGAAGTTTAACACTGTATTTATGCTGATAAAAGAATTATCCTTCTTTCCTCAGCATGGCAGAGAAGTAGAACTCCTTCTCATGCCTCAGAAGAATATTTTACAGTCTTAGGTACACACAGAGATTCAGATCAGGCACCAGATTGCTCCAGGCAGTTACACAGTGATGTAAATTAAGGAAACAGAAATATATAAAACCAAGTGTCCAATCTTCTTATATTTGAAGCTGCATACTCAAATCCTTATGTGACTGACTTACAAAAGCACTCCTGAGACATGGGACAGCTGGGAGACGGGAAGGAACTGAGCTCCAGAAGTAGTTCATAGATGGAGGCTAATAATGGCTGGATGGACCTGGAGTGAGAGTACAGCTGCATGACCTGCAACGCCAGCCTTGGGAGCCTTCACTGCCTCTGTACCTCCCCTAGTTGCCAATATGGTCTACATAAAGCAGCTCTCCACTGACTCAGGCATCATAGTGACTGGCTTCAACATGACAGGATGACTGCTGAAGCTGCTTGGAACGACCCAGAAGCAGCAGAGGTATCACAGGTACTTCCATAACATCAGTTACAATTCTAATAATTCTGGACTTGAAAAATGCCTTGTGTTTCTTGACCTGAAAACACTAACCATAATTTTCTGACAAGAGTTAATATTCATTCACTTCAAAGAGAAACAATCCAGACAAATAATAAGCAATCCAGCTGCACAGCCCAAGTCACAGAAGCCAAAGGCAGGGACTGAGAGAAAGAAGAACCGCCCACTGTAGGAGAAGATCAGGTTCAAGACCATCTAAAGAACCTGAAGGTGGACAAGTCCATGGGACCTGATGAGGTGCTTCCGCGGGTCCTGAGGAAACTGGTAGATGAAGTTGCTAAGCCGCTATCCGTCATATTTCAGAAGACGTGGCAATCTGGTGAAGTTCCCACTGACTGGAAAAGGGAAAATATAGCCCCCATCTTTAAAAAGGGAAAAAAAGAAGACCCAGGGAACTACAGGCCAGTCAGTCTCACCTCTGTGCCAGGCAAGA